GCTCGACTAGCCTTTGCCAACTTGCGTCATTTATGGCGTAGGCGAGATATCCGTCTATCAACCAAAGGACGTGTTTACTGCACAGAGGTTCGTTCCGTCCTACGTTATGGCAATGAAGCGTGGCCGGTAAGAGTAGAGGATATCCGTAGGTTCCTAGTATTCGATCATCGGTGTCTTCAAAACATTGCTCGTATATCCTGGGACCATCGAGTAAGTAATGCAGTTGTTAAAGAACAAGTACTAGGTAAGGATGGCAAATCAATTGATGAAGTGGTGAGACTACATCGGCTGAGATGTCTGGGACACGTGTTACGTATGCCCAACCACCGACTGCCTCGATGTGCGATGTTTTGTTGTATAGGAGTAAATTGGAAGAAAGCTAGGGGCGGCCAAACCAAAACATGGCGCAAGTGCATGAAGTCACTGACAAGTAGACTGAGTCATATCGGTAGGTGTAGACTACCTAGTTGGGGACCGCGAGATGATAGCAACCGATGGTTAGAGACCTTGAATGACATTACTCAAAATCGTTTGTAATGGTGTCCGCAGGTGCATACACTGTTTGTGTTCTCCCAAATTCTAATCTTCTGAGTTCTTCGTGTTCCTTTATTCTTTTCTCTTTCCAAATTTATTTCACTGGATTATACTCCTTGAATAATACGTTCAAACCCTAATATTTCCGATGACTGCTTATACTCTTACTACCTTTACCACTACGGGATTTGAATCGACAACTGCATCTCTGTGGTAATGTGGTACGGCAACTTGGACTGATGCACGTACGTACGAAGTTCCACGTTGTTACTGACTGACTGTGTGTTCGTCTGACCACCTCAAGGGTATTGAACCGGACTCGGTCTAGTAGATGATGGCACGGGACGTGTTGTGGACGATCGTAGTGATGCGACATAATGGATGGGCAATAGTAAAGTGTGATGTGATGGTTAGGCAGGGTAATGGTTTTCCAGAAGATGCGGACGACCACCTCGCACACAAACTCATCACTTCACACTTCCGTCACACACAATCAACACACATAAATATCTTACACAACTTATATAATGGGAGCGTTTTTGAATGTCCACTTAAAATTTAAATGTCCCTTGGTATTGTACTCTTTCTTTTGTATGTTACTCTGCAAGACTGTTGAAAGTAGGCAATATAAGGAAGTTTCATGGGTCTATAGGTTATTAACCCTTCAATTTGAAATGACACAAATTGTAGAGAGATTGGAAATTAGATAAAACTAAATAACTATTTGATCTTATATCAATACCTATCAGAAGCATGAATTCATCATCACGCACACCATTGAATCCCGGAGTTTTCAGATCAGTTCATGAAACTATTTCAAATAACAAAACACAATTATTTTTTCATGAAAATTCGAACGAAAAATTTTCTAACAGTATTGTGGATATTATAGTAATGTAATGATTGAAATCATGAGTCAATTGAAGCTAGACCTCCATGGAAAACCTGGAAGCACTAGATGGCCGTTTCGTCCTATTGTGGAACGACCGTCCAGTGCTTCCAGGTTTTCCATGGGGGGATAGCTTCAACTGACTCATGAATTCAGCTAATAAATCACTATAATATCCATTAACACCCCTCTCTGATTGTCATCATCATATGCTCACTAGTGACTGCCTTCAAGATGTTACATCCTGAGGTCCTAGTGAGAATCAGTAACCAGTGAAGTTCAATTGTGTCTGTTGTGAGATAGTAACCCGCTGAAGACAATGGTGGACAAATGGCTGAATTTCGTGGATTAGTCGGAGTTAGACATTAACACCGTTGGATACCGACAATTTTAATGGTCTAGAGGTTAGGTGTTCTCATGCGAGACCGATAGGTCCTATTTTCAAATCTCGTGATGCATAATCATGGATGTGCATTGCTGAGAAGTCTCATACTACGACGAAATGTTCATCCAGTACTTCAAGGTTTTCCATGGTAATCTAACTTCAATTGACTCATGAATTCAACTATTAAACATAACTTATTTTACATGTTACACATTCTATTCATCATTCATTATTTACAATCTACTCATGACATGACTATATCATATTGATTTTTGTTTATTAAATAAACATGTAAATTGTTCTAAAATCAATAAATCACTCATATGATACTATTTGACATTGAATGTAAGTTCACTTACAACAATGATGCTTTAAATCTATTTCATAATGAATATGTGTGCCAAAAAAGAACACATTAGAATGACAATAGTTGAGATCATGAGTCAATTGAAGCTAGACCATCATAGAAAATCTAGAAGCATTGGACAGCTATTTTCTCTTAGTATGTGATTCGTCAGAAGTGCACAGCCACGATCTCACCTCACGAGATTCGAAGCCAGGACTTATCGGTCTAGCGTGTGAACGTTTGTTTGAAAAATATTCATAGTGAGACTATGAATATTTATTGACGAATCAAACAGATTTAGGCATGAAAATCATTCATCCATTTGGATAAATAGAGTTTTGGTACTTTAGCCTGATGTCACTTCCTCATAATAATATTAAAAAACTGTGGAACTAACTCCTAACCTAAATCATCAATTGTGAATCATGATCCTTACTCCTCAAACTGTTTTATAACCTTCATTTAATCCTAGTAAGTAGGTAAACACTTAAAGAGAGTTTGCTGTCGCTCAAAGCTCATCCATAAATTATAGTCTCACCGAATGTTCATTAGTCTTACAGTAAAGAACATAATAAGACTTCAATGATATTATCCTTTTAGGTACTCCGACTAATAAAAGTTTCTAATGAAAAGTTAAACATTTATTCAATAGCTGGAAGAAACCTTTGAAGAAACTTTGAAATTGGTCTTCCCTCTTTTTGTAATTGATATTCACGATCGGCATTTATTCAATTTATTTAAACACATATATATTGGTACAAAGGGGCACCGAATACATATGCGCCACACATGTCATTTGATTTGTATGTGGGCTGCGATACTGCCTGGGTGCCCAAACCGAAGCACGTGGTTTTCTTAAAGGGTCATGTTCGGAGCCTTTAACCTAAAGATCTGATCCACAAGGCAGTGGAGCAACGTCAGGTGATTCAGTCCCATGGTAACTAATGACCGATAGTTGGTTCATACGCCATTTGTTGCCTTAGGATCCTGGAGCTCATGTTTGGTATCAGGGTTTCCCAATTCTCCTAGGTGGACTCACCGTGTCCGCCAACCTAGTTAAAGCGCCTGATATTCGATTTTCGTCCTCTCGATTTTGTAAACAACAATAATACCTCGAGAAGACAGTGAATAGGACATCGCTGACAGTGGTCATGTAAAAGAATTTGAAGAGGGAGAGCTAACTCTCCCCACCCTCGACTGTACCAGGACATTCGGGGTCTAAATGTTTATTCAATAACTGGAAGAAACCTATAAAAACTTTTGAAATTAGTCTCCACTCTTTTTATAATTGATATTTACAATTCGTAAGGGGATAATATTTATAGTTTTAAATAAGCTACAATTAATGATGATAATAATAATATCGATTTATAGTAGAGTTAAGTAGGATTTTCTCTATTTCTTCCTTCTAGTGTATATATATATGTTGTATCTATGTTATAAGACACATAGTAACCGACAAAATATATTCATCTATTTACTTTTAATATCGATTTAAATAAGATTGTGTAATAGTTGGATATAACAGAACATAGAGTCAGAAGAAAAACTTGATTAATCAATAACTTATAATGAGAAACCAATCAGAAATAAAAAGTGTCATGGATGGCATAAAATACAACTGATCTCAAATCTCATGTATATTCACTTATTTTTAGAAGGATTATTGGTATATCTTAATAACATCTTCACATTAAGGCAATATCGAAGCATACACACAGTAGGCACATATGCCAATAACAGACTGATCAATTTCAGCCCGAAAACATCAATGGGATCTTTACATTCTTTTTCCAAAAAAGGTTCTTGATCTTATTCATATGAGTCTTTAATGAATAAATATCAGTATAAAGTTGTTGAGTCTGATTAGAATCATAAACCAACCAATGTTAGATCACCATTGAAAATCTGAAAACGTTGGATGGATGTCTTGTTCTAGTATAAGCGTATGCACGATCACGCACGTAGTATCCGAAACCCAGGACCTTCGATCTCGTGTGCGAATGCCTAACGTCGAAACTATTGAGTCCGTGTCCAATGGTGTTAATGATTAACTTTAATCAATCCACGATATTGTGTGACCATCACCCATTGTCTTCAGTGGTTAACTGCCTCAAGCTCAGCACGGTTGAGCTCCACTGGTCATGGCTTCTCACTATAACTCTGGAAGCTAGTCGCTAGTGAACATATGATAACTATCACTACAGCATTGTGGATTTCAATAATTAACAAAATTATAGGATGACATTTAATACATAAGCTACCGCAAACATGCCTCTTACTAGACTCATCTTCGTATTTCGTTTGCGAGGAATTATTCTTACTGACTCAGTTACTAGAGAAAGATTGTACTTCATTCCCTTTAAACGGGTCATTTTATTGTGCAACTTGCCCGATAAGTTGACTTTCATTAACCTTCAACTGATTTAGCTCCTAGCTTGAAGTTGACAAAATACCCACATCTCCCTGTCCCAAAGAAACGACTTTCATCGGTATAAGCCCTTCAGATGTGTACTAATTTCATGATCGACGGTTTTCAACACACCCTTCTAAGGTTAGTAATATTTTTACAACAGTTAATTATAGGGCACACCATGCAGACACCCTAGTACATTTGGTAATACGAATTGGGACTCAGATACGAGATCTACTTTCACTGCTCACGTTATCAGGAAGTAGACAACTAAGCCTTACACAGACCAAAGTGGACCGATTGCGCTCACACCACCCAATCGAACAAAGCTAATGCGATGGGACACCCGGCGCTAACAATCACTCACCGTTGAGCCCAGGCATTATTGATATTATGGACGACCAACAACTGCAATCAGCAACTAAGAACGAACCTGACCTCAGATACATACAACAGCGCTACAGCAGGTCTACACGGCGTCTCCAGTCGCCAAGTTCACTAAGTGGATAGTTACTTTGCCCCATAATGACACAGAAAGAAATTAAGCCGAAAAATGGTGATTTATTGAAAGGAATAAGCAGAACAACTAGTAGAGTATTGCTTTATGCATCTTCAAGTTCCTCTTCGAATTCACCTTCTTCTTCGGCGGTTGCATCTTGATATTGTTGATACTCGCTTACCAGATCGTTCATATTAGATTCTGCCTCGGTAAACTCCATCTCATCCATACCTTCACCGGTGTACCAATGCAAGAAGGCCTTTCGGCGGAACATAGCCGTGAACTGTTCAGAAACACGCTTAAACAGCTCCTGGATGGCAGTGCTATTGCCGATAAATGTCACTGACATTTTCAGTCCACGGGGTGGAATATCGCAGACGGCAGTCTTGACGTTGTTAGGGATCCAGTCAACAAAGTAACTGGAATTCTTGTTCTGAACATTTAACATTTGTTCGTCGACTTCCTTCATAGACATACGGCCACGGAAAATAGCCGCCACTGTCAAATAACGCCCATGACGCGGATCACAAGCTGCCATCATGTTCTTCGCATCAAACATTTGTTGCGTTAACTCAGGAACAGTTAATGAACGATATTGCTGGCTACCACGGCTAGTAAGTGGTGCGAAGCCAGGCATGAAGAAGTGCAAGCGTGGGAAGGGGACCATATTGACAGCCAGTTTTCGAAGATCGGCGTTTAACTGTCCAGGAAATCTGAGACAAGTTGTGACCCCAGACATTGTCGCGCTGACCAGGTGATTCAAGTCACCGTACGTAGGGGTTGTAAGTTTCAACGTTCGGAAGCAGATATCATATAGCGCCTCATTATCAATGCAATATGTTTCGTCAGTATTTTCAACCAGTTGGTGTACAGACAACGTCGCGTTGTACGGCTCAACAACAGTATCCGATACCTAAAAATCAAATTCAAAAGACCTGTTATAAATTTCAAGATATGTACGCACATAGGCACTCTTCGGACTAATACTTATTATAAAAGTTAATCATTTGAAGCTGCTATCCAAGCGCAATATGGATAGGACAAATCTCGGATGTCCCACGAACACAAAACTAGTGCATGGCAAAAATGAAGCGAGGTTACGCTGACGAAACTTAACAGGTCCTGACACTCGATGAGCGACAAGACTTTGTGAAACAAAATGTTCCATTCGTAAATTAAGACTACAGATTCTTGTAGGAAGACTTTAGGTGAGATAGTTATTTGGATAATCAAAATTATGTAACCACTCACTTTTGGTGAAGGAACGACCGAAAAGGTATTCATAATCCGATCAGGGTACTCCTCACGAATCTTCGAGATCAACAGCGTCCCCATACCTGAACCTGTACCACCACCGAGCGAATGGGTTAATTGGAACCCTTGAAGGCAATCACAGGATTCTGCTTCTTTTCTTACGACGTCTAAGACAGAATCTACAAGTTCTGCTCCTTCTGTGTAATGGCCTTTAGCCCAATTATTCCCAGCGCCACTTTGACCAAATACGAAATTATCAGGACGGAAAAGTTGACCGAAAGGTCCTGCACGAACACTATCCATGGTGCCTGGTTCTAAGTCCACTAAGATAGCTCTTGGAACATATTTGCCACCGGATGCTTCATTGTAGTAAACATTGATTCGCTCAAGTTGTAGATCTGAGTCACCATGATATGTTCCAGTCGGATCGATGCCATGCTCATCCGAAATAACTTCCCAGAACTATGAATGAAAAATAAGCGATGATAAGTGAGCAAATGTCAATTCATATTTATATGTTTAATATGGAAAACCAGTAATTTCACTTACTTTGGCACCAATTTGGTTACCACATTGACCAGCCTGTATATGAACTATCTCACGCATGTCGAAACAAAGAATAAGCGATATTAATGTTAACTTATGCCTGACTTTAAATATATATATATATATATAGCTAGATAATCGATTCACTTGGACTGATAAACTAGATAAATGATTGGATGAAATTTAGCAAATTATTTTTCACTCACTTTCTATAAATTGATTGGTTAAATTAACTGTCTACAAATGTGGGTGTTGGTGGTGTTGACGCATAGTTTATATTGCCACATGTAAACATTACTGTTACGTGATTGGTTAGTTAGTTTAACTGGGTAGTCAGTCTGATGATATTCGATTTATTGATTGGTTTATTGACTGAATATCCTCTTAATGTTGTTTTTCCCTTTATTCAACAACCCTTGTAATTATGAATAGGCAATAGGTCTGACCCTTAAAAAAAGCGATCAATATTATCTGACCTTTTTGATGTGGTTTTTGTTCTCTGAGTTGGATGGTTTAGTTGTGAAGCGTTCATCGTTCTAATGAACGACATCATCAGCACAACCAAACTATCCAGTTCAGAGAATAAAACCCCATCAAAATCATCCACCTGAGTTACAAATCTCCACCATCTCATTATCTGACTTCATTATGTTTGGAAGACGAAAAAACAATGAATTGAGATTTATGAACAAAACATATCTAGCTCATCTTTGTCTTGATTATAGGACGTTCTATTTATACAAAGAAATACAATACTTCATGTGCATAAAACCATAAGTTCTATGTGAAGTTTGTGTTGATGATGTCGTTCAGAAGAACAATAAAATAATCCACAACCACACCATCCAGCTCAGAGAACACAACTCCATCAAAACTATAAGTACTTGTTATTCATTCCTTTAAGTAGATAGATAAAACGAAGTTGTTTTGACTTCATTCAGGTTAATAATATTTCCTAATGAGCATACGAGTATATTCATCTATGTAGGTGTATGTACCGATTTGATTTCAGCGTGATACTGGTTCTAAATTGACGTTGGGTGGCGATGGTGTCAACTAAACCCTAGTTTATACACTATATACTGTTCTGTATTCCAAGTGGATGCTTATAATGATAAGATTCAAACTGGCGTAAGTATATTCAACTGTATAATCACTTATCTTAGTGTAGACATAAGTATGTACATGAAAAAAAGCCGTAACTAGCAGTATACTTCAAAAAAACGGTGTATTTCTCAGAACGTTTAGAAAAGCCTAATTTGTCAAAATTTGAACTGCAAATATTTCTGAGAAAAACATATTCAACAGAGCTCCAAATTCTTTCCTCCAGAAGGTACCTCGACCTGCAAAGTATCAAGGATAAAGTGTTTTGTCTACCTCGATCTGAATTCATTAGTTCACGTGCTCTTATGGAGTAGGTTTCATTTCCTTCACAAAATGTGTTCTTTCCAAACATTTATCCTAGTAATACCCTCTATAGGTATCCAAGGGGAATATACGAGACAGTAAACACTCTAATCTTTGAAAATATAGCGAAACATTTGTTACATCACACGTTCAGGATTATCACTAAATTCTAAAGAACGCTTGAGTTAGTTATTTACTGGTATATCTATAGTCATTCGAATCTGATCTCTGTGTACAAAAACGAACATATCTGATTGTTTTCTTTCACCATAATCTTTACATCCATTCTAACTGGAGCTATATCAGTTATTCTCTTGTTCTTTAAGTATTTCATATTTAGTAAATGGACTATTATCTTTTATATTCCTTCTATAAACTACTATTACTTATTATCTTAAAAGATTATAAATACAGTTTTACAGCTTAAGTATATAGAGTTTATAACGAGTTATGGGGTCTGTAACCCCATACCCGACCCTTCTCCTTTATTCGGGCTTGAGGCCCCCAAATGCCCTGGTACAGCCTTAAGTGGGGAGCGTCCGCTCTCCCTCTCCGAATGCTCTCACATGGCCACGAGTATATAGCCACTGCCAGGGAAGTCTTATTCACTGTCTTCTCGTGGCGGGGGTGCTGTATACGAAATTGAGAGGACGAAAAGCGAATATCAGGCGCTTTAACCGGGTTGGTGGACATAGAGAGCCCATCTAGGGGAGTTGGAAAACCCTGATTCCAAACCAATGGTGCACATGGGCTTCAGTATCCTGCAGGAACAAATGGCCTATGAACCAATCATTGATCACTGGCTACCATGGAACTGCATCTCCTTACGATGATCCACTGCCTTGTGGATCAGACCTTCAGGTCGAAGGCTCGGGGAGTGGACCCCTAAGAAAACCACCTGCTTCGGTTTGGGCACCTGGGTAGTATCACAGCCCTCACACATATCGAATGAGATTTGTGTGGCGCATATGTATTTGATGCCTGCTTGTACCAATATCCATGTGTTAAAATAATAATATAATAATTGACTACTATTGTAGAGAACAAGAACATAACTGGAGACAATCGAATGTATTTGAACATACACAGTAAATACTTCATTTACAAAACGATAATCAATTGTCTCAAACTTGACTGTTCCTTTTTGCAAACATCAATCAAACATCTCAGACTTCGTTGTTCTTACATTTTGATATCAATTGCTTACTGTTCGTGTTCTTTCTTTTTCGACTTTCTGCTGACAGACATTCTAATAATGACTATCGTTATATACTACTCATGTCGATATAAGTAGCACACACCATACTATTATATGGATTTAATATTCTTAAGTTCTTTCCAATTTCTTAGTTACACTCTCTTACACTCAAAGATATTTTCAGTTTGATCTTGTATAATTTTTATTTTCTATTTTATGGTATGGTGTGGTCTACTTTACTTGTATGTAAGCCAAGTATGTCTGAGATATATGGTTCATACAATTGGATGCTGAGATTATATTCTGAATTCAGTGGTTAGGGTTAGGTGATAAGAACTAGTAAGGACTCTAAATTGCTTGTACCAGTCAACATGCCATTCGTTTGGCACAGGGATACTATGATATAAGTCGTGTTCTGATTAGCAATCTTATCACGTGATAATATTGTTGTACGACCGAGGATGAGAAGAGTTCTCACTCTCTCTCTTGAAATACTCTTATATGGACATTATCACGGAAGTCCTACTCACTGGCTTCTCATGACAAGGGTGTTATTTACAAAATTTAAAGGATGAAAAGCAAATGTTCAGAGCTTAAACCGAGTTACTGAGTACATATTTGCTGTTATATCTTAGTTTTAGACGACTAATTATAAATAAATAATAAATTAGACAATTCATCATGTACTTGAGTGTGAGTTACACAAAATTTGAAGGCTGATGATACTTTGGTGAATGAGAACTCCGGTGGGGACAACCAATTTATTGTTTTATAAAAAAAGTACAGAATATTTCGATAAACTATGAGAACTATACATTAAATACTTCATTTGCACCGTTGGATGTCGGCTCAGTAGTCTAGTGGTTAAGCGCTCGTGAGCGAGACGGATAGATCCCTGGTTTGAATCTCGCTAGGCGGTATCGTGGATGCGTACTGATGAGGAGTCCCATAATAGGATGAAACCGCCATCCAGTGCTTTCAGGTTTTCCATGGTGGTCTAGCTTCAATTGACTCATGATTTCAACCTATGAAATTTCCTAAAATCTCCACAAAACTCATTCTGGTGATAGCCTTTCTTTGATGTGCTTACAACAAGCTAATGAAATAGAGCAAAGCATAACAACGCGCAGTGCAGATGGCTGGTAGGCCAACTCCATTTCTAGTCAGGCATTACTCAATATTCATAGGCAGACAATATGAACTACAGACATGTGATGAGTCATCGGACATGAAGTGTACACACATGTACGCTCAAATAAAAATAGTCAAGACTGATAAGCGAATAATTAACAAGGTCAACAGATATGACTCAAGTAGAATGAATAGATTGGGTTGTCCAAAAACTAGAATAAGATGTATGATGGGCTTAAAATAATGACTCACACTATACGTCTCCTGAATTTGTTGTTGCGTGTGCGACTGAAGAGCCAGATCATCTGCAAAGTTTAGATTGTCCAGCTGAATCCTAGCTGGTCCATTATATCCCATGCTTCCTCCCGATGACATACACTAAGATGATATAATGTATTTAAGTTTTCCAAACAGAATACGGTAGAATTGATCTGTCCATAGTTTATATAACTAATCACATGCTATATTCATATAGTGTGAATGGTCAGTTAAGGCTCTTGGTAGTTTTGTGTACTGGGAATCTGTTTTGTTTTTGATACCGGAGTAATCACCAATGTACATTTTTGACTCAACCAACTATCAAGACTAAATTGAAATTGAAAATGAAACCTTTTTGGAAGAATAATTCAGTTATTGTAATCTCAATGATATCTGAAAGTCATAGATATGTGTTGATGGGGAATATCAAATTGAGATAAAACAGCACATATGTATCTTTTATAATGACCATTATTAAGTTTATTATTTATTTAGTTGAACATATAAATATTGGTACAAAGGGGCACCGAATACATATGCGCCGCATAAATTAATTGATTTGTGTGAGGGCTGGATTACTGACCGGGCGCCCAGAGCGAAGAAGGTGGTTTTCTTAGGGAGCCACATTCGGAGCTTTCAACCTGAACGTCTGATACACAAAGCAGTTGGATAACGTCAGGAGATGCAATCACATGGTAGTCAGTGACCAACAATTGGTTCATACGCCTTTTGTTTCCTCCGGATACTGGAGCCCATGTGTACCATTGGTTTGGAATAAGAGTATTTCAACTCTAAGTGAATCCTCTGTATCCACCAACCCAGTTAAAGTGCCGAATATTCTCTTTTCGTCCTCTCAATTTCGTAAACGACACCCTCACCGCGAGAAGACAGTGAATAGGACTTCTCTGGTAGTGGATGTATACGTGTTTCCATGTGAGAGCATTTCGAAAGAGAGCGGACTCTTCCTACCCTCGATCGTACCAGGGCATTTGTGGGCCTCTATCTACAACCACAAAGGGATTGTTTGTACTACTCTTACAAAATCTAGAAGAGTTAAGTATAAGGTGATTCAGAGATGGGTATTGTTCAATAAATGTAAACAACTCAATCATTTCTATATAATCGGAACAGGAAAAAGTGAGCATACACACATCAAGACGATTTTAATATTTTACAAATCACACAAGAAAAAAGGAAAAGAAATGAAC